AAAAAAACTAGCAATACATATATTATCATTTTATACATTATAATGGAAATTATTTCAATAAAAAGTAAAAAATACAAATCTCAATATTCGTGTATATCATTAATACTGCATATAGAAAGAAGTATTTTTTATTGCATTGTACTTTCCAATTGAGATTTATAAGTGAAATGTAAATGTTTCCGAGAATCACAAATATAGGAACCTTTAACAATGAAACGGTTTTCACATTATAAATCCATAATTTTAAATATACAATTACGATTAAAAATCGTAATATTTAATATTCTGCAGTATAAAAAAGTTAGTGATATATAATAAACTAAATTATAAAATGTGATAATGATTTATATGCAAATAATCCAGAGACGAATTATATCATAACTTTGAGACAATAACATCTAATAAATAACGATTGAAACAATTGTCCTCTTAAAAATATTTATGTTTAATGACGATTTACGTTATTTTAAAGCATAAAAGCTTCTTATAAAAAAAAAGCCAATAAAAAGGCAAAACACAAGTATCACAAAATGACATGCAATATTTTAACATTCCTCATTGATGTATAGGTAAAAATTATGATACAGAAAATGGTTGTGCAATTTAACTAAAGCTATAATACACGTAGATTAACTACATACTAGATTCCTTAGTGGTGATAGTCTCGTTGGTATTATCAACTCGTATTAATGTCGACGAATTTAAAACAAGCGTCCTACTCAATGTAGCAACTCTTTCCATTACACAAGATGCTGAAAGACGTGCTTCAGCATCATGATCCCAACACTCTTCCATTGTATCACAAATTGATTGAAGTCCCTAAAACAATAATAAGAAAATCGGTAAAGATACGCTATTCCTTTTAAAAGAAATCGTTTCACGATGTTATATGCTAGAATTTACTTACGGGATGCTTTCGCCATGTTTCTAAAATGATTGGCCTTTCTTTTTTATGCACGACACTTTCTTGCATGTCTTCTAAGGTTGGATGAAGCCCCACTTCATCCTCGAATGGTAATCTATATTCTCCAATTGGTCCCTAAAGGTGAATAAATACAATTTAGCTTAGTAACTGGTAGTGAAATATCTTATGGATTAAGGTATATTTATATAAAAATTTACATCTTGCACAGTGCATCGCGAAGCTAATTCCCAAAGCACCAAACCACAAGCGTACATATCGATTCGTAAAAATGAATCTCTTGTGAAATTAATGGCTCCTTCCAAAACTTCTGGTGCCATATATCTTCTTGTTCCAACCTAAAAATAACAAATAGTATATTTTTTATGTTACAATATTCATGCGCGCATAAAGTATACAATAAACATGCCTGTCCATGGGTATCTCCACAAGGTTTCCCAGGATGAAATATCAGGGCTAGACCAAAATCTGCTATACAGGCACTCATATCAGCTTTAAGCAAAACATTTTTTGACTTAAAATCTCTATGAGCTACAGCAGGTTTGTAGCCATCTGCTTTATTGGCTGGAATTTCTTCATGTAAGTGCATCAAACCTCTAACAATTTAAAATTATCATTATAACAGAAGCACATAAAATACTTATTAAACATGTATTAAAGCATTACCTTGCCATAGATTCTGCTATTCTACACATCTCAGGCCATGTGACAACATTTGCTTTTAAATAGTCACATAATGAACCTTTCTCATGGTATGCAGTAATTAACCAAAATTCAGCTTGTAAATTATCTCCTCTCTTTTCAACACCTATGAAACGTAATATATCTTCATGATTCATGTGTGCAAGTTTGAAAATTTCTTGTTCAGTTTGCCAAGACTGTTTATCTTGTATAGGAAACACTTTAACAGCAACAATCTCATTTTTCAACTGTGCTTTCCAAACAGCTCCAAAACGACCGCGAGCTTTAATTTCTAGGAGTTGTATAGGACGCAGTCCCAAATTAGGAGATGGTTGTGGTAGTGGAAGAGGTTCTAATGTTGGCACCTACAAGAACCATATTAAACAATACTTATACAATACAAACAATTTATAATATAATCTCAAAAACAAAAGATTTAAAACATTTAGTAATTGAGAGATCTGTACATATGCCTTCCAAACCTCGTTGAAATATCCCAATTTCCGACGTCGGTAACACCAATATAAAAATGGTAAAATAAGAGCAAGTAGGAGCATGGGTATTGATATTGATAAGACAAGTGTAATTATTTGTTGATCTGTGTTTGGAACAGGTTCTAATTCTAAAACATAATTTTATATATTTAAAAACATATGTATTTTAATTATTTATTACTTAAAGTAAATACTTACCATGAATATCTATAGGTTGGATAGGTTTAGAAGAAGAAGTTGGGTGAGGATCCCATGTAAAATTCTGGTTGCACATATTACCATCGCAACAGCAGAAAAATAATTCCTTCTTCCTTTCTGCACTGTTTTCAATGCACTGTTGCCTATCATAGCAATCATTACTATCCAAAAAACATCCCTACAATTTGTAATTCAATTATAAGAATAACTTCATATAGATAATGAAAGAAACATTAGAACATAAATGCAACATAAAATTTATTGCACTTTTGCACCTTTAACTTAATTATAGACTTCTTTGTAGCATTATCAATTTGCCATAGTACATAACAGTGATTTCTTTTGCCTGGATCATGTGGCCCACATTCTTCTCTTCCTGAACATTCTTGCTGGGATTCAGCACACATTGTTTCATTGTAAAATTCACAAACTGAAGAACCCTTAACATCATGTCCCAATGTAAGTCCTAAAAATTAAACCTTGTTTACTCACTTTTAACACTTGTGGACATTCCACAATTTATGTCACAATAAAAAAAGTTTCCAGTTGTGAGGATTAAATATACAGAAATAAATAAATTTATCATATCACATTTAAGTACATAATAATATTTCACATGACATAGTCCAACTTTTCATTATATAAAACCATAATTTGATAAAAAAAAACAAGGGTACTATTTATAGCAAATTACAAGCACACTTGTTTTACATATAGTATGAAAAATAAAAATTGAAACTGCATACTTGTCATTTGATTAAACGTATATCGGATAATAAACCACGTTTATAAACATAGAACATAATATCGGTCCATAAACTGCATAGAATTTAGTAACGGTTCAAAATGCATTCGGCAAGGAAATGGCATTATAATCCCTGGAAGATCTCGCGTCAGTGGGTATTTTAAGTTGCGGATGCAACTGTCAAACGAAAGATAATGGAACGTGCAATTACCTAACAATCCTAGGATGAGATATGGCAGTATCGTCGCATTTGCGGACATCGTGAATGGATCGTAAAAGCATACCAGAAATTTAAAGTCTAGACGCACGGTGTTCGCGATGTGGCTAATGCGCCGGACTTTGGTGCGCAAGGTCCGGGATTCGCGCTTAGCCGTCACATCTGGGTTATTTCTACGTAATCCACACCATTGTGTGTCTCTTTCACGAATACAAGTCTACGGCTTCATGTTTGCCGAGGAGGTCGAAGCCGCAACAAATTAAAAAAAAAAGAAATTGAGTCTATTAGCTATTAAGCAAATTGTAGTAATTCATCCACCGACACATCTCTCTTCCTCTCCCCTCCCACGTTTCTGTCGGAACGCGCACACCATGGATTTATGTCATTTTTCACCATTGAAACACTATAATCTCGATCACTTTTGAACAATTAGGGTCACCTCGAAGAACGAACAAACTATTTTAACGTACACAAGCACACCTCCAGCACGATAAGTTTCGAAAAAATTGATAAAAATCAACTAGGCTCGCGGGCTTATAAAATTACATGCCAGACGCACGAAAGGATGGATCATAAACTAATAGATCGCAATAGAACGACGACACTAATAGAAAATTGATGGGTACATTTGCAATTTACATTATTGCTTTTTCGATAAATTAAAAAGAAAATAAATTAAATATAAAAGCGCATGTTGATATGCTATTATTGTAAATTGAGAGGCAGGAAAATAAAACGAATCAGAACACTTATATTTGAAGAATATATTACACAGCAATGATATATACAAATAATAATAAAAATAGTATATATGTAAATAACATAATGATAATAACAAATTTACCTTTAAATTTGCAAAGATTGCCACATAAAACTTAGAATAACAATACCAATAACAATTACCACATAGAAGTTTGTTAATAAGGTAGAAGAGAGTCTTTACCGACTGCGTTCATATCAGTTCTGGAACTCCACCAAACATATCGATCAGTCGTAATCTGGTTTTCGGTAGTTGTTCTTCATACGTTGTTTGTTAGTGACTGATGTGCGATTTGGATTGCATTTAAATTGCATCTGAGGATCGTCAGTGAACGGTACCTCATGATTCTGTCTTCTTCTAACTTAAGGCGGTCGAAAACTCCATTCAACGTCGATGATTCTGACGGGAGACATTGGTGTAAGACCGTGGTAGCACGTTTCTCTGCGGCAAATTTTTGAGGTTAGGTGAAGGGTGGTAGTGTTCTGATAACCATATCGCAACCGGAAACTTTTTATGAAGTGTCATAACGCTTAAGGTTTTCCTTACTTTTATCAAAGTATACAAAACTTTACGAAGAAGTAACGGTTCAATTTTAAATGACAAGTAATTATGGCAACGTCTGGTTCTGATAAAAAGCCAAGAGTAATAATTTTAGGAGGTAAGCGTATTCTATTTCATACGATATCATAACGGAAGTGATAAACAGGAGGTCTGAAAAAAGGTTTTTATCGTTGAAACAGGATGTGGTTTCATAGGACGTAATCTCGTGGAATATCTGCTGGATAATGATCTCGTGTCTTTTGTACGTGTCGTAGATAAAGTACCTCCGCAAACCGCTTGGCTAAATGCTAAACATCAACAATTATTCGACCATCCTTTGCTCGAATTTAAGAGCGCTAATTTAATCAATGCAGGTAATTTGAATGCTGATAATAGTTTCTATGCATTTTTAGTGAAATAGTTACAATAAGAATCGTCTTATTAGTCATATAGTACATAAATTCTTGAATTGCCTCTAGTATCTTGTCAAAACGCATTTTTATCTGACAATCCCATTGATTATGTGATTAATTGCGCTGGAGAAACAAAGAGTGGTCAGACAGACCCTGTATATAAAGAGGGGATTTATAAGCTGAGTATAAATTGTGCTCAACAGGCTGCAAAATTACAAGTTGATCGGTATATAGAAATATCTTCTGGTCATTTTAGTACTTCTGAAAAAGTATGTAAATTTTTATATTTATATACTGAAAAATTTATTACAGAGATTAGTAAATTGTAATATTTTTGTAGAATCCTCTCAAAGAGGAAGATTCTGGAGAACCATGGACATTTGTTGCAAAATATAAATTACAAATAGAGAATGATTTAAAATACATACCAAACTTAAAATATACAATACTTAGACCAGCTATTGTATATGGTTGTGGAGATAGAAATGGATTAGGTACTAATTCATTGTTTAATAAAAAATGAAGAGATCTTTTTTTTTTTTAAGATTTTTAAATATAAAAATTGAATTCCTATAGCACCACGTTTGGTAGTGGGAGCTGTTTATAAACATTTGGGAGAAATGATGAAGTTACTTTGGGGACCAGAGCTTCATATGAACACAGTTCATGTGAGAGATGTAGCTAGAGCTATTTGGCATGTAATGAATAGGCCAGATACTGTAGGCCAAACATACAATGTTGTTGATGAAGGTGATTCAACTCAAGGATCAATCAGTGCTATAGTTTCAGAATTATTTAATATCAATCATGATTATTGGGGTACTGCACTATCCACACTGGCTAAAGTATGAAAGAATTCATATTTTTTTTAGTATTTTATCATGCATGTCATGTAGTTTCATATGTGTATACGTATAAATTTATGTGTATGTATCACATATTAACTTTTATTTCATGTTTACTATAACATTTAATAGAATAAAAAAATAATATTCTAAAATATCTATAACTTTTAATTATCAGACTGAATATCAGACTGTTAGTACAAGCTTAAAAAATTACTTTTATTACACATTTTAGACAGATATGAGTTCTGTAGTTGAAGAAGTAAATGACAAACATATGGGACCTTGGGCAGAGTCTTGCAATAAAGATGGAGTGGAGAATAGTCCTTTGTCACCATATATAGATCAAGAACTTCTTTACAATAAACACTTGTATTTGCAACCAGGAAAATTATCAAATACTGGGTTTACTTACCTTTATCCAAAACTTACAAAAGATGCTTTAAAAGAGGTAAACAATTATATAAATAAATGGCAACAAAAAGATAAATTTTTTTAGGTAGCACCTGTTAATCTATTAAAAATTATTACTTTAATTATTTATTTATAGGTTCTTGATGATTATGTAAACATGAAGATATTTCCACATTCCTTGGTTTTATGAATTTTAGCAATACAGACTGCCAAGATCAAATAATGCGAAAGCTTACAATGATTTGTATAAATAACGTTTGGAGCGTTTCACCTTGTGCCTAGTAATCTATGCAAGTTACATACTCTATTGTATGTTATATACCATACTCGTATTTTACCTGCTAACAAATATTGTTAGTTAAGTTTATAAAAAGTACAGATGGAATATGAAGATTTCATGTATAAGCCTATTGCAAATGTGATAAACTAGAAATTAATGTACTTAATTTTACTATAGTTTGAGGTATGAAATTTTTGCACCTTAGGGTTGCTAGTCAAATTTTGACACATAAGGAGTAACTTGAAGTTGAAAAATATTGACGAACAAACGTGAAACTAGATGTTTACATGCTTAAATTTGACATAGCATGTAATGTTATTTGGATAAATATTTTAGAGAATTATGTACATCGCCAAAAATGCTTTTTATACTGAATTTTTCAAGACTGGAAGTATAAATAAAATTGTTACATAACTAATGAGATCCATAGAAATGTATGAAGGATTTTGTGTTTTTTATATCCACTGCATTCCACTTAACATGTATCTTCCAAAAGCTGTGACTCAAACTTAGAAATCTTTTTATTCCAAGTAAATGATCTTATAGTTATCTAAATTTAGAATATTAGATATATTCGAACTGTATAATGTATTAAATCAAGTACAAATAATATTAATTAAGTTAGAAAATATTTCTAAAACGCCAAACACAAGCAAGTTAGTAGGTTTATAATGTAAAAGTAAGCCTAATTTTGCATAAGATAATATAATAAAAAGGCACCAACTGCCAAATAAAATTAATAGTATAACTTTTTTGAAGTAATTGTTATTAATCCTTCAATAATAAAGTTACTCATTTATGCATTTATTTAACTGATTTTGCTGTACCTTTTACATTGCTTCAAAGAATTAACCTTTTCGGGGAGGGTTACCATATTTTATATACATTTTAACACAATCAACATCGATACACCGTCTTAATTTTATTCAATCATTGGTTACAACAAGATATTGCATTCAGAAGGGTCAACAATATCATTAAATATTTCGTGTATCGTTTTAATACTTTAAACAATAAGATTATAATTTGATGTAGTTCATTATACATAATATATTAAAATATATGCTTTTAATATTTTCTGCAGATAATATATGTACAATCATAGGTAAAAGTATTTACAAAGTAACTGCACCCTAAAAAACAGCATAATTATCGCGACAGATTAATTGTGTAGGTATCAGTAAAAAATGATAAGGGTTCATGAAAAAATAAATTAATAAAGTTTTCTTAATACATAATAATTGCTATAATTAACGATAATAATACAAACTTCAATTTTTACCGGGTTTGTTTTTTCATATATATCTTATATAAAATAAAGTATAATGTCTTGGCTATATCTACTCACTGTATGTGAGAATATATTTTCTGAGGTAAATCGTGTAAATCTAAATTATAGTGCTGTGTAATAGGTACTGAGGTTAAGTTAAAATTAAGTAATATAAGGTACCTACCCTGTAGAGGGTGGCAATTATGGAGGTATATTTACTTGACTAGAGTCGCCGTACAACGTAATTAATACTTTGTCTATGTGTGGTCAATACTATGGGATTGGTATCTTCTGAAGAGCTATTGCAAACGAAATGAAATAAAAACTATTCTCCTTATTATTTAGTAAAGGTACGAGTTTGCAAGAAATAGTAGGAAATTTAATCTGATGCATAAATGAAAAAGAAGTTATGAGTAACAAGAAATATCTTATGCACTTAACTGAAATATTGCTTAATATAATGTAATAGGGAAATAGATATGATATTTCTAAATCAACATATATCATAATTTATAAGATAAACAAATACTTTTTTAAAAATCTGTAATCAAAATAGCCTCAATTCCAATATTTTTCTTTTATATAAATCGTTATACTCTAAATATAACATTTACAATACTTGTTTTTCCTATCTGTAGTCTAAAGATAACAATGTTTATTGCTTTGTACTTCAATACTGTATAATCCATTTTTTGAAGTTAATAAAACGCTTAGATAACAGCACGGCGACTCTATTTATTGTTTTCTCTTTTTTACAATATTTAAAACTTATCACATCCACACAATTAGTCAAAGAAATTATAATACGAAATTATGATACCGATATTCAACGTCAATACGTTTCAATTTGTTCTAAATTTAGTGAATGTCGTCTTATAAGCTGGACTTTTTATATAAGGTACAACTTAACACAAATAGGATTTTTTGTTAATAGAATTATGTCCATAGCAGTCAAAATAATATCGCGCTTAACAAATACAATATATAATGTTGCTAAAAGTAAAATGCTCAAAATGGTTTACAATGTTACACTCATTTTCTTTACAAAAACTCTAAAGCCAATGGTTAAGATTTGCATATAATAAAAAAGGGACATTTTTTTAAATGATGAAAGCATAGTATTTGTTTTCAAATATTTTTTCGCCACATTAATTAATATATCCTTTTTTCTGTCTCAATGCTTCTAGGATCTACCATCCTTTTGTCCCTTAAAAATAATACCTTTTTCCTTATAATTTTTAAAATTCCGTTAATATTATAAAATTGTACAAGCTTAATAATTAACATATACATACAGTGCAAAAAATATTTTAAGAATTTAATGTAAAAGGAAAACGAATTCATGAGCGATGAGTTGCTAGTTGCCTACTGCTATATATCAATTCTCGTTTCTCATTTAACTCTAGAAGAGTAACAAATACCTTCAACAAATATAAAAGTATACTACTATATGTCAGTAACATAAAATGTAACAGGTTGTGTTAAATATGATAACAAATGGAAAACAAATTATTTAAATAAAAATCACAAAACAAGCATTCTATCTGTGAAATATGTTAGCAACAAACAAAGTTTGTTGTAAAAGTATCAGGAATAAATAGCTACAACCATATATGCATGAAATTGAGATTCTAATAACGGTGATCGTAGAATATGTAACAAATTTCATACATAGTGTTCAAATGAAGTTACTTATTTTTGTAAAACTGCTATCAGATCGTGTACACATTTTGTATATGAAATTTTTGATAATTCACTAATAATCTGTTTTAATAAAAAATAAGTAAATCATGAACTATACTTATGAATGTTTAGTTATGGAATATGTGCTATAAAAAGCTATATTAATAGCAACATTGTTTCAACAGAAGGCTGAATAATTTTTCGGAAATAATTTTAAATTATAAGTTTAACAAATTATTTCATATGAAGATGTAAAAATCTATGTAATAAATATATGGTAAAATCTCTAGCATGTGCAGATTGAATTAATTCTATTTTTACATGATTTCATACTGTGCTTGTAGTGACTATGTTATTGCATAATTCAGTGTAATGTGATCATTTAAAATAGTACTGAATGTAAAATGTAATAAATAACAATTAATGGAGGTACAATAATAACATGACATATCTACGTCTCACTCTAAAAGATATAGCTTATTCTATCAGGTACTGTGTTGGGTTTTTCTGTCATGGTAACATGCACCAGTCTGGAATATGTTTGTAGTTTTGTTTCACATTTTTCATTTTTTTGCTTTTGTATGATGTAGTTAACTTTAAATGTCTTGTACAACATAAGATTTATCTTTATCATGTGAACAGGAAAAAATATATAGTCTATACTCAATATTTCCAATTATTAAATTAAATGAATTGACATTTTCTATATTTTATTTATATTTCACATATTTGTTAGAAAAATTTAGTACTTTTTAAAACTTTTAATGTCATTTTTTCCTGTTCTCTTCATATGTTTCAATAGTGTATAATACAATTATTAAACATGTAGTATAAAAAAGATTCTGTTAAATTAATATGGACATTTCAATTACTTTTTTCAAAAATGCTTGACAACGTCTTATTCTTCAATAGAATAAATATTTGACAAAATTTGCAGTGTTATATGTATAGTTATAGTATTTATAATAAAAGAAAAACCTAAACTATACTTTTAATACATAAAATCTGATTAGTACTCTTTTTCTTAATTTCTTAAAACCTAAAATCTTTCTTTGTTAATTTAGCTTTAGTTAATGGAAAACTTAAGATTGTGGAATGATCAGTACTATTGCTCTCTTTAAAAGCAATACATATCGTGAAATAGATTAGGCCATACCCGTAATGCGGATATTTAATAATTTTGTCTTCCCTAGTGTGAAGGAATGCATTATTTACTTTTTCACTATTATTTGAAACATGATATTTTATGAACATATTTATAATTAATAGACACTCTATTTTTAAGAGCATCGAGAATTTTCTTATTATCGCACTTGCTTAATTTTCAATTTCATATTCTTCTGCTTTCTCACAAGTGTCACGTCAGTACATATATGAGCAAGTTATCTAATGAATATTATTAAGTATCATTTGCATGATCTCTGTGCCACAGTATCATTTCACACAAAATGAAGTCTAAAAATTACTAGATTTCTTGCCGAACAGCTAACGCGGAAATACTGTGTTGTCGATAGTAATAACTTGCTTCGAAATATTATATACACGATAGTTGAAGTGTTCAGATTCAACGCACTTCCAAAACACTATTATTTACATAATCATGTATGCATTTGTATTTTCATTTACAAGTTACGTTAAACTTGTAAAATATAGTAACTTGCATTGCTTCTACTTCCTTGAGAATTCTGTTCTTTTAATTCATCTGTACTTATGTATGTATACACATGTATGCACACCTGTATGTATACACATCTTGCAATCAAATAACTCGAGTTGCATGAAAATTTTTACATCCTACCTTTTGCATGTGAGCATAGGAGGAAAATGTGAGCACGCAATTATATTGCCTAATGCTTTCATCCATTTGGTCCAAGCGCCGGAACAGATATACACATAGATTTTGGTAGGGACGTATCTCCGTCTGGACATCCAGAATTATTATTTAAACTGCTACTGC